ACCTGTGGAAAATAGGTCGCTATAATGTGCACTGACCACCAGGGGGCAGATGCTCAATGCAGGAGCTGCCCCCAGCTCCCAGGCCAGCCAAGGGGAGGGGGGCACCCCATCACTCCACCGGTGGCCCTGCAGATCAGCCCTGATCACCAGCCAGGCCTAGGAACCCTACCCATGCACAAATTTTGTGCACCAGGCCCCTAGTATCCCCATAAAGACCGTCTGAACCCCAAAAGCTGCGTGAGGCCAGGTACAGTCAGAGCATAGGTCATTCTACCCATGATGGAGCTGGGACACAACGGGGTGAATCACTGGCCCAAGACACCTTATGGTTCAAAGACAGGGCCAGTGGCAAAGCCAGGATTCAAACGGAAGCAACCCAAGGCCAAAGCCTTACCCTCAGTAGGGTCGTTAGAAAGTTTAAGGAGTTAATTCGCATGACACACTGATAGGCGCCTTGCACATGCTCAGTCCTCAGGAAAGGCTATGCCCCCCCCCCCCCCCTCATTACAGCACACCCTGGTCTCCGGAGGCCTCGCTCCCTCTCCCCTCAACATTGCATATGCCCTGCACCCCAATCAAAGCCTGTACCTCATCGCAGGGACCTCCGCCCCTCCGTGCTGTGCAATAATAACCCTCTGCCTTAAAACCGCCCAGGAGATCGCAAGGCTGTATTACCAGGGCATTTCCATAGTTTACCATCTGCTGCCTCCTGCTTTACACACGTTCCCCATTAAAGATCCTCCCGCGAAACACAAAACATCCTCCGCCTCACAAGCTGCCCTCCGACTCAGCGCCCTCATTAAAGCGCCCACCCGAGTTAAAGGGCACCCCCCTCCCGATTCCCACACAGCGGGGTCAGCTGCCCGCCGCAGCCCACTCTCCCCAAGAGCACCCCCTCCCCCCAAGATCGCCAACCCGGCCCGCGCACCCGCCGCTCTCCGCGCCGCTCACCTTCTCCGCCTCCACCCCTCGGCGCGAGCGGTTCAACCGCCGAAGCTCCAGCCCCGCCCCGGGATCAGGCTTTCTCACTTCTGATTGGCTCTGGCTTCCCCACAGCCACGTCCCCATTAGTCAAGCAGACGCCCGTCACTCTGTCCCGCCCCAGAGAAGAACCCGCCCCCCAACGCTTGCAATTGGCCAACTCGGAAGAGAGGCTCGAAATGGGTGGGGTTGTTGGCCTCCTTTCCGATCTCCACTGGCTAATTCTTCCTGCCGGTCATACAAAGAGGTTTTGTTATTTTGAGAGGGAAATCCCGGAAGGAGTCCCTTGACCCCGCCCATCACCCCCTGCGAGAGAGTAGGCCGCGCCCACTGGAATAAAAGGCCGGGGAGCTGAGGACCCGGGTGGCGGGGGAGGCGGACGCGCATGCGCAAGGGGAGGTCTTGGCGGTAGTCTGAGAGCTGCGAAAGGGCTCAGCATAGGAAAGACTGAGATTTGTCATCGCTCGGTGCGTCCCAAGCCTGCACTAAGTACTTAGTGGGCCTTGGCTTATTTAAAGTTAGCAACCCTGCAATGGAGGCGCTATTGTAATCCCCATTTTGCCGCTAAAGGAACAGGCTCAAAGGAGTGCAGCCGCTGGCTGGGGACCACACAGCTGGAGAACACCTGTTTCAAGCCAGTGAGGCATCCACGGGCGGACACAGCTTATACAATGCGGTGAAGGAGCAGGGCAGGGGATTGTTCTTTAAGGAACACAAAAATCACAAACACGGCATGTGTGTGAACATGCAAATTTACTTCGAACAAGAAATAATAACAAATTGCATATTTAAAAGAGCTGCCCTAGCTGATATGGCTCAGGTGGTTGGAGCGTGATCCCGTAGGTGGCCCTGGTCGGGAAAGTAGGGGAGGCAACCGACTGATGTTTCTATCTCAAATGTCTCTCTCTCAATCTCTCTCTCTCTCTCTCTCTCTCTCTCTTCCCCTTCCTTTCTCTAGAATCCTTTTTTTAAAGCTGACAAATACCGCAAACATTGCTAAATCCCAAAAGATGATAGCGTAATGTTTTTTATTAATTTACTGCCTGACACACCTCTGTGATATGTTTCCTACTTTTTTGGCTTCATATACTTATTTCACAATATCCTTATCTCCAGGGAGAAAAGTACATTTTCCTTCCTCTAGCATATTTGATGGAACTTTTTTTAGTCATTAGAATTTTTTAATATATTTTTATGGATTTCAGAGAGGAAGGGAGAGGGCAAGAGAGATAAAACATCCATGAGAGAGAATCATTGATCGGTTACCTCCTGCACGCCCCCCATTGGGGATTGAGTCTGCAACCCAGGCATGTGCCTTGATCAGAATCAAACCCAGGACCCTTCAGTCTGCAGGCCGATGCTCTATCCACTGAGCCAACCCGGTAGGGCAGAATTTTTTTTTTTTTTAAGTTTCAGCTTTACAAGTCAGTATTGGTGATGTCATCTAAATTTGCAGGAAATTCGTGAAAACATTCATGAACTTTAACTCATCTGTTAGCTGGAAGTTCTGGAAAATGTTTCCACAGACTGGCTTCTGGCTCATTCCTTTTTTTTTAAATCCTCACCCGAGGATATTTTTCCATTGATTTTTAGAGAGTGGAAGAGAGAGGGAAAGACAGAGAATATGGATGTGAGAGAAATACATCGACCAGGGCCTGGGCTGGGGAGGAGCCTGCAACTGAGGTATGTGCCTTTGACGGAAATCAAACCCTGGACCCTGCAGTCTGCAGGCTGAAGCTCTATCCACTGAGTCAAACCGGCTAGGGCTTGGCTCATTCCTTTTAATTATTCACTCAACTCCCCTGTGAGGTGCTTCTGGAGTGAGACACTTATAGGACAGGTCATGCCACAATAGACTGAGGCTTGCATCTAGTGAGCTAGCACCCTGGACGTTAGGAGCATTCCTGGAAGCCATTCCTACACCATGAAACTCGGTAGGTCATTTAAGTCTACCTGAAAGTGTCTCTGAACCCCTCCAAATAACCCACAAAACTCAGTGTATCCTCAAACCCCATTCCCCCCAGCGAGGTCCCATGAATGCCTGACTACTCCATCGCCACCATGGTAAAGAGAAGTGCAACAGGGGGAAGGGAACTAGAAAAAGACAGTGGTAGCAACCAGTTGCATTTTAAATGTCCTCCTTTAAACGAGACCATAAGAACATATCGGTAGGGTCTTGGAAGGGTCTATGCCAGTGACGGCGAACCTTTTGAGCTCGGCGTGTCAGCATTTTGAAAAACCCTAACTTAACTCTGGTGCCGTGTCACATATAGAAATTTTTTGATATTTGCAACCATAGTAAAACAAAGACTTATATTTTTGATATTTATTTTATACTAGAGGCCCAGTGCACGAATTCATGCACAGGTGGGGTCCAGCCAGCCCACCCCGATGGGGGCCCATCAAGCCGGGCTGGCAGGGGTGAAGGGCCATGGGCAGTCGGCCAGCCAGCCCCACCCCCGATTGGGGTGAGGAGGGGCAATTGGGGGTGGGGCCAGCCATGGGGAGGGGCCGCGAGTGGTTGGCCAGCCAGCCCCACCCCCAATTGGGGTGTTGGAGGCCGATCGGGGGCCGGATCAGGCTGGTTGGCTGCTGCAGTGCCACCGGTTGTTCTGGTCATTTTGGTCATTCCGTCGTTCCAGTCGCTGGGCTTTTATATATATATATAGATATTTAAATGCCATTTAACAAAGAAAAATCAACCAAAAAAATGAGTTCGCGTGTCACCTCTGACACGCGTGTCATAGGTTCGCCATCACTGGCTTATGCCAATCATGGGCCCGGAAGCTTACATGAGCTTTACTATAAACCCACCCTGAACCAGTCATGACGCATTTACTGAGTGACCAGTGAGTGCCAGAAGCTAGTACCGGGAAATCCTACCCTGAGGCAAACAGCCAGTCGTGCCATTTCCACCAACTGGTTTCGGGGGCCCCCTTTCCTCTCTGGGTATGGGTTTTCCTGCCTGTGAATTGAGTATTGATGACAGACTGACATTTAGGGTTGTGATGAGACCTAGCCATAAAAGTCACAAAATAGTCCAGTTAAAAACTCGAGCTTTGGCCCTGGCTGGTGTGGCTCAGTGGGTTGAGCATTGTCCCCTGCACCAAGAAGTCGCTGGTTTGATTCCTGGTCAGGGCACATGCCTGGGTTTCAGGCTTGAGCCCCAGTAGGGTGTGCAGGGGGTCACTTGATGTTTTTCTCTCCTTTTCTCTCTCTCTAAAAAAAAAAAAATCAATAAAAACATATTTTTTGAAAAAACACGCAAATATCGCTATTAAAAGAAGAACTTGAGCTTTGCAGTCAGAGAGACCTGGAATAGAACCCAATGCTTCCTATTACCAGCTGGGGGCACTCCCACCAATCGTGCATCTTCTGTGGGCTCCACTTTTCTCTATCTATAAATAGAGTTCAATTCATTCATTCATTCATTCATTCATCAAACATTACTGAGCACCTGCCAAGTTCCAGGAACTTTCCAGGGTGCTGGGTGTATCAATGAACAAATAGAAAAAGCTCATGACCTGGTGAAAGGGAGATAAACTATAACATATAAATAAATAAATAAATAAATAAATAAATAAATAAATAAATGTCAGATGAAGATAAGTGTTTGGGGAGAAAATAAAGCCGAATAAAGGAGACAGGCTGGTCAGCGAAGGCATCTCAGAGAAGCTGACTTAGAGCAGAGACCTGTAGTCAGTGAAGGAGCCAGCCTCCTGGGTGCAGGAGTAGAGCATTCCAGAAAAAGGAGACAATTAATGCAAAGGCTCTGAGGTGGGAACATGCTGATGCATTTAAAGAACAGTGAGGCCCTAGCTGGTTTGGCTCAGTGGATAGAGTGTCGGCCTGCAGACTGAAGGGCTCCAGTTTCGGGCTCGATCCCCAGTAGGGGGCGTGCAAGAGGCAGCCAATCAATGATTCTCATCATTGATGTTTCTATCTCTCTCTCCCTCTCCTTTTCTCTCTGAAATCAATATATATATACAGTGAGGAGGCCAATCTGAGTGAATGGAAGTGTGGTAGAAGGTGTCTGGGAGGCAGTCAGAAGCAAAGTCGTGTAGGCCATTGTGAATGAGATCTTCGGGTTTTGCTCTGAATGGGAGGGGACCCACTGAAGGAGGGCAGCAGGAGCGTAACTTTACTCATGCCTTAAGTGGTCCTGCAGGTGGTTGTGTCAAAAATAGGCTGTTAAAATAATTGAAATGAGGTAACATTTTGGCAATTCCTCAGAAAGTTAAACATAGAATTACCATATGACCCAGTGTTTCCACTCCTACGTAGACACCCAGGAGAACTGAAAACTGATGTTTAAACAAATACTTGTACATAAATAGTCACAGGAGCACCATTCAGAATTGCCAAAAGGTGGCAACAACCCAAATGCCTATTAATGGATGAATGGATAACAGAATGTGGTATAGCCATACAATGGAATATTATTCGGCCATAAAAAAACATAAAGTTCTGATCGATGCTACAATATAGATGAACCTTAAGAACATTATGATAAAAGAAGTCAGATACAAAAGGTCAAATATTGTGTGATTCCACTCATATGACATGTCCAAAGTAGGCAGATCCACAGGGGCAGAAAGCAGATTAGTGATTCCAGGAACTGGGGGATGGGCGTAAGAATGCAGAGTCACTGTTTAATGGGTGTGGGGTCTCCTCTGGGGATGACAAAACGTTTTGGAACTAAATAGAGATGATGCTTTCACAGTATTGCAAATGTACTAAATATCTCTGGATTGTGCCATTTAAAGTGGTTAATTTCATATGTGGCTTTCACCTCAAAAAATTTTTAAGCAAAAGATTTCTTTTTAAATGATTCAAAAGCGAGATGGTAGCTTTATGAGGGTGGTAGCAGTGGGGGTGGTGGGACATGTTTAGAATCTGCATATATTCTGAAGGTAGAGCTGACAGAATTTGCTGATGGATTGGGTGTTGGGAGGGAGAAGTCAAAAATGATTGCAAGATTTTTTGATCTGAGAATCTGCCAAGATGAAGTTTTCCTTTA